AAAAAATTAAGCAGGTTTATTTTGTGAAAGGTGTAAAAAATTGACAAAGAGGTAAAAGCAAAACTGAAAATAATTGACTCACACCACTAAGGGCTGGGATGAAATTTTTCACACAAGTTTGAGATTAATGGTGCTGATGGTGTCCAATTTTATACTTGACTGACATGCTGTGTTTTTATTTGTTTGACAGCTTGCCTTAAATGTAATGATGCAAGTTCCTAAACGTGCCAATGATTTAATGCATATCAGTCTGATTGAAGGTTATCAAGTAAGTACAACACATAGTATCATTATATGTATGTGTATTTCTGTATCTTGTGCTGCAGTTCAAGACTTGCTGTTACAGAGAAGTTAATGCTTCTCTGTTGTTTGCTCCTGTATAGTGGTGATTAAAAAAAATTGATGAAAAAATATATAAATTGTGCTTTGAATAATAAGTGAAGTGCATTGTGGTACTCCCATTATTCCAGCTAAAATAAAGTATTTTACAGTAGTTTGCAGCTAGGTTTGAGGTGGCACATGTAAAAAAAAATACATTCTTGTGCCTATCACTTGTTATTACCCCTGCACATGTTTGCTCGCGAGAGATTTCCCACTTGTTACATCAAACATTATAAACACTTTATCACCCTCCTTGTATATCATTGGCAATGACTGACTTTGTATGTTGTTGGAATAAAAAAAAAGAACAATTATACATTCTGTGCACATTACATTACATCTATCATTGCACTCATATGCCATCTAAAATATGTGTGTGTAGAATACACTGAGCACAGTGACGTCAATATTTTTAACAATAATTTTACTTTTATAGGGTAATCTTGATGACCTTGGCAGACTTCTACGAATGGACCAATTTATTGTATGGGATGGTAGACCTAAAGGTAAAGGTAGTAAAGGCAAAGATAGACAGCTATTTCTATTCCATGATCTCATAATATTTACAAAAATCAAAAAGGAAAGTAAAGTGGAATCACCAGGATATATCTGCAAAAACCATATGATGGTGAGTAGTTTTGCAATTCTAGAATTCTTGGTTAGTTATATGGGCTGAATTCTAAAATTTTTGGTTCAGGTATGTGGCTCAATTCGAGAATTCTCACTTAGTTATGTGGCTCAATTCGAGAATTTTTTCACTTAGTTATGTGGCTCAATTTGAGAATTCTCACATAGTTGCTCAGTTCAAGAATTCTCACTTAGTTATGTGGCTCAATTCGAGAATTTTTATATAATTTTGTGGCTCAATTCGAAAATTTTCATATAGTTAAGTGGCTTAATTCAAGAATTTTTACTTAGTTATGTGGCTCAATTCGAGAATTCTCAGTTAGTTATGTGGCTCAATTCGAGAATTCTCACTTAATTTTGTGGCTCAATTCTAGAATTCTCACCTAATTTTGTGGCTCAATTCAATAATTTTCACTTAGTTAGGTGGCTCAATTCAAGAATTCTCACTTAGTGATGTGGCTCAATTCAAGAATTCTCACTTAGTTATGTGGCTCAATTCGAGAATTCTCACTTAGTTATGTGGCTCAATTCGAGAATTGACAATGTGTCACAGAATCTGCTTTGTGAGATTCACCCCCAACTGTAGATACTATACGTTCTCAAAAGTAACTGACTAAAGCAACACAGTCTAATTTACATTGCTTCAAAATGTTCTATTTGCCCTGACTTGTAAAATTAACAAAAAGTGTCATTTTCAACAGTTACTGTGTTGAATACTGTTCATATTAAATGTAATGTATTTTTGCTAATAAAATAAAGGTTGTTAAAAGTGACCACAGAACTAAGATTATATTGTGTATCATTTACTAATATTAATTTTTACATAGTTACCTGGTATTGGTATGACAGATGAAATGAGTGATGACAGGAGATTTGAATTATGGTACGGTAAACCAACATCTTCATCTCTGGTAACACTACAAGTAAGTCATAATATACTGATGAATCCTATTGTGACCTATACAAAAAAATAAGGTTTGCCAGGTTTTGAGTAATATGGCAATTTGTACTCAATTCATTATGACCGAATAGCTGCAATGTTAAAAGATCATCAAAAACAGTATTTTGTTCATCTATACAAACATTGTACAATATGGGACTCTGATTCACATCTGTTTGTTTTGCGAATAGGTTTCAAACTGGCCGACTGGTGGTCATTTTGTTTTATTGAATGCTGTTCCTATAAATCTATATATATATATCATACATCGTGTCACACTTGGTTGAATTGTGTAACGTTAATAATTTATCAAAATCAAGCACTTCTGTGATTCCGGATCTGGATCTCAGTCATGCATTGAAATATTCAAACTTTGTATTTCTATTGAACTTTATGGGACATTAATGCACGTCACTTTGTTTGTCAGATCAAACTCAAAATGGCTGACTGGTGGCCATTTTGTTTTAGTGAATGCAGTTTCGGAGCCATAAACCTTATATATTTCTTAAACTCACAGAAACTATGTAATTCAACTACTCGTTTAATTCATATTCAAAGTGTATTCAACTGCAAGAAAGAAAATAGTTGACATGTGTGATTCAAACTTCAGTAGCCTCAGATTGAAAGATATGGTAGAAAGTATCCTGATTTTCTAAAAGTCTTGCTACCTTCATGTGCTGTCAATTGAGGACAGGTGCACATTCATGGGAATTATGACAGATTATTAATGCAGTAAAATCTCACTTCTGACTTCTGTTTTTTCCAGGCTAAAACAATTTACGTAAAGCAGGCTTGGGTGAAAGAGATCCGAGATATCCTTAGTAAGACACAACAAGAACTACTTGACATAAAAGCCAGTGCAGAACGAAAATATGGTATGAACATTTACTAATGGTTATGTACTTTTTCAGTATTTTTCAAATAACATATTTTGTTTGAGTTAAATGTGCCACACACAATTCCAACAGTCGAGAATGAATGGAATATTTTTTATTTATTGTGTTAATTATTAATAAAATATTTTCAGTATCTTTGAAAACATGATAATAAAGTGAGTGTTTAAATTTGGTATTATAGAAATATTGTTTCTATGTTAAAGGGGTGTTATTCTGATTCAGGTTTGCATTTACAGGCAAATTAAATAAGGAAATTGTATTAAACCAAAATACACCTTAAAACATCACTGTTGTTGTGCGAAACTTCCCCATATTATGTGAACAATGTATATTTACGTGCGTTGTGTACATTGGACAACATGTCTGATATAACACTGTATAATGACTGGTTCATTAAGTTCTGATGAAAAGGTATGATACTGTCCTTCAGTTTTCAAGATGTAGAAAAGACCAACCAACTAATTTGTATGTACTTGCACAAATCAAGTCAGTGTTGCCCAATTTAACTAGAAAATAATTACAATTATAACATGTTGGCTAATCATGTGAAAATAACAACTTTTTGTAGGCAAATCAACTGACAGTGTTAGCTCTGGCTCAGAAGCTAGCTTTACAGGAAAGCCAAGTCCAATTCCACTCAGGAAATTTGCTGCATTACTAGGTAGAAGTGAAAGCACATCTAGTGTCGCTACAACACTGGCAACATCGAGTCCACCACCATCAAGTCCACCATCAAATGTACAAAGCCCTGGATTCCCAGCACCACCTGTAGAGGTAAGGTCATTCAATATCAAAGTTACATTAAAATATAATGCTACTGTATTTGCTTCATTAGGAAAGCATAGGGAAAACATATTTGGTGACATAAATGAATGCTATTATTATACATCTGTCGCCATAACGCCATAAGTTACAGCATGCAGAATTTTGTGGTATTTTACAGGGTATTTTTATCCTACCATATTAGGAAATGCGAATTCCAAATATTGAATGATTATGCACGTAATAATTGAAACAAACGTACGTAATAATAGAAATACACATGGCTGCCACCAGGGTTTGACCAGACTCCATACAAAGAAGTTCGCTGATTCTGTTCTAAACTTTTTGGATTTCGGCAATCCCATGATGTATCCTAGGAAGGAAAAGATTTATAATAATAAGGTTATTACGAGGATACCTCAAAGTGTGCACTCAGACAGTACACCGTCGCATCGACCTTCGCTGCGTGTTGGTCAATACTCCCGCTGTAGTGTCTTCATGCATACTTTGAGGTATCCCCATAATAACGTTTTTAAATTGACATATAATTCATTGAGTTTCCAGAATCATAACAGTTTTATACAATAAGAGGTTATCTCCCATAATGTTTTACATGTATCTGCTGTTACATACTCAATAATGAAAAATTTGAATTTGGCTCAAACTGCTTTTAAAACATTAAACAAGAAACAGATAGGCACAACAATTATGACTCCAATAGCGTATTTATAAGTATGTCAATAGGCATATGCAACTACAAAATGCACTGCCATATTTATAAATATTTTCAGAATTTTGCAAAACTGTTTAGCCAGTAAACTTCCTTGGGTTTGACAGTAAACACTGAAAATCCACAGTGAAACAATGCAGCGCGAACACAAATATTAACCTTCAATTCCGCTGAAATCTACTTAAACATTGATAATTTTCTGTTTCAATTTACAGACTATCACAGTTGGTGACGCGTATGAAGTAACATCAGAGGTGATTGCTGAGGGTGGTGATGAAGTAGTCTTGTCTAAAGGTGAAGTTGTTAAAGTCATTGCTAGAGGTGGTAGTAATATGTATAAAATAATGACAAGACCCACCGACAATCTTCCCAATGGACAGCAAGGCTATGTGTCTGACAGATATCTGTGTGTCATCAAACCTGAACCTAAACCAGTAATAGGTAAGTAAACATAATCATGCCAGGTCAAGATGGTATATAAACACTGAACATTTGATACATACTCTTTTTATGGTTTTCTTTCTGGGATTTCTAATGCAGGGATTTTTTTAAACAAAGGAACAGGGGCACAGCGCCCTTATGCCATGGCCCCCTTACCCTAGGGAGCAGATCCTCTGGCAATCATAAAATTCTGTGACCTGTCTGATAGTAATTTTGGCCCCAAGGAAGACAAAGAATGCTCGAGAAAAACCCCTGCTAATGTATGGATTTTATATACACAGTGTGAAAAACTAAAAATGTATGTGTGAATGATGTATTCAATGACATTCTATGAGGGCATACATTTATGAAAAAAAAGTGTGCGTTAACAAATTGCAAGTAGTGTCAGAAGCGGCGGCACAAAATTTTGTACGAGGGAGGTGAGATCTAGCTTAATTTTGGAGGGCCAATCCTGTGCGCCACCACCACTGAGGGTGGAAATTGGAGGCCAAGGCATCAATAGATGTTGCCCTAGATGCAATACCATTTTTCTGACAATTGGCCATTTTTAGTCACAAATAGAGAATAACATAGTGAGGTGAAAGCCATAAAACTAATTCACGGTCTGTCCCAAAATTGTGATTATCTGATTGGTCAGTATGTGTGAGTGTGTTGTTGTACTGTTCATATTTTTTGACTGTCTATCAACAACTTATTAGATTCCTCAGTGTTAAGGATAATAAAATATGGCAACAAAAAACTTGACTTGTAATTATAACACCCAGCGGGCATTCAATTTGTTACTATTTGTAACTATACCTCAGGGCATTTGATAACTACAGTTCACATTGTGTTACATTCATTTCAATACAAATGTAGATGTACTCTTTAACTTGGTAATATGTAATCTATTTTCAAAGAATACGTTGTGTTTTTCATTCGTTATATTTCTGGTCACTGTGCGCGTCATCATTTTTTTCAGGTTTTTGAAAAAAAAGAACAAAAAATGCTATTTTCATGAAAATTTGAAATAAAGGCACAATTTAAATGACAAATTAAGAAAAAGTTATTTTTTTTTTAAAGTGCTACCATTTTTGAGAACAAATGGATCAGAAACGTTATGGTATTTTTTTCTAAGTTATATGCTAACTTTTTTAAGTGCATGTGTTTCTATCTGAAATTTGAGCGATGTTTATGATTTCATACCACTATGTGTGTCCCTATACAATGCCACACGTTATTTTTTACAAAAGACCACATGCCTATATTTGAAACTTTTGTATTAATGTGATACCAGGAAAACCCCACCCCAGATCCTGGACAGGATTTCACTGCAAACTGATCGGTTTAAAATCCACAGTGATACTCAGTACAGAGAATTATGTCAGCAACATAGTTTTTTCAAAGTTGTTTTTAAAATCAACTTTTGTCACTTTCCATAATAAAAAAAATGTTATAGAAATCCAAAAAAAATTGTGGTGTTTCAAAGAGAGAAAATTCTACAAGAAAATGGGGAAATAAACTGTACTACAAACTGTGGATGATGAACTATAAGTATACATCAAGCACATACCGGTAATGTCTGCATACCTTACACTTGCCTTGTAAACCCAGTAGAATGGTGGCTCAAATATTTTTTGGCATTTTTAATAAAAGTGGCTCCAAATTTTCTGCTTGAATTGTATGCTACAGTCGTCATTGTGGAACATTTTCAAAGTGTGTGAAAAAAATGATGTATTTTACAAGCATGTGGGACCCACCTTGAACATAACATGGTGGAAGTGATGTGCATTGCTATTACGATTGTTAAAAAGCAGGTGTCCAAATTTCAACAATTGTATTTTGTAAGCGTTGTGTTGTCATAGGACACATATAGGACCCCACTACCAATTAACTGTTTTTTTCTCATTGTTGGTTTTGAGATCCTGAGTCATTTTTTCTAAAAAAATTGATTTTTCTTCATTTCATCTTTTTCTAATTTAATTTATAATTCTTTGCAGAACAACCGAAATTGACTGAGAAACCCAAGTCATGTACAGTGATGGCAGGCCAAGAAGCTAAATTCTCATGCAAGTACAAGGGTTTCCCCAAGCCTGAAATTGAGTGGTTTATTCAAGAAAGTGTTCTACTAGAGAATAGAATGGAAATATCAAGTATTGACGGAAGCAGCATACTCACGGTGTATGACGTCAAAGTAGAGGATGCTGGGAAATATAAATGCGTAGTTGAAAACTCGGCTGGTTGTGCTACAGGGGCTGCTAATTTACATGTACAAGGTAATAAGTTTATCCCACATTTCTGCCTTTGTTTGATATGTCAACTGCTTTACCTTTTCACCACCAGACTTTCTCACCCAAATTTTTCTGCACTTTTTTCTAATATTCTCGAATATTTCTGGAAATGAACCGAAATTTTGAAGCCAACAGACAAATTTTCAGGTTTTACTCAAAAAATGTGGAAATTATCGTCCCAATTTTATGAAGGAAAGTGGAGACTATAAATTTGAATTTGTGATGAAAAGAGGGAACTGGTTATGAAAAGATTACTTTTGATGCTTGGAATCTTCACGATTTTAGGTCACTGACAATTTTCACTGCAACAAAATATTACAATTTAACTGACTATTATATTATGAAATTAAAGCTGTTTACAGTACCTAAGATGATTCATCAACTGATGTGTGGTCAATGATCAGCAAGTCAAAATGTCTTTAAAAGAAGTAAAAAAAATACCGGATATAGTACATACAGTACAGCTCACTTGCCAGGCTTGTGGCATCCGTGGTTGGAAAAATGGGATTCAATTGATCAACCTAAATCAGTCGTTCCTGTTTACTGTCCAGTTCTCAAAACACAAAAAATTATTGTTGCTAAGAGTAGAATGCAAGGAACTTTCTCTAATATGGGAATGCTGTGGTAGATACTACTGTAGGATACTTTATTTTCGCTTGGAATTAATTTTTGCTATTTTCGCTGAAGGAATGATTCAGTGAAAATAAAATCCAGCGAATATACCTTTTTTCCTATATTTTACATTCAACTTGTCAAAAGTCAATGAAAATAAATTCTATACTAAGCACCAAATATGTCTTTCCAGCGAAAATTAATTCCAGCTAAAATAAAGTATTTTACAGTATCAGGATACCCTCTGTCAATACAGTTTAACGAAAAAAAAATATATACATATCTCATATGTTACTTACTAAAATATCTATTGTGTCATTTAATTCTCAGAATGTAATAAGGAAATAGTGTTTGGGGGAAGTCATCTGCAATTTAGATTAACCCTTAGAGTGCCATTGTCAACTTTTGGCATAACCACGAAATATTTCAGTACACTCTTTGACAAACATTGATATCAAAAACTAAAAACCAATATCAGTTACTATCTGTATGATTCAAAATTATCTTGAAATTTGAGGAAGACTTTGTAAAATGTGTAAAAATTTACACTGAATTTTTGGTATCGGGTAGTAAAAATAACTAGCGATCAAAGGGTTAATGAGTTTATATGGAAGTAATCACTTCTTTAACATTAGGAAGTCTCAATGAAGAACAGAAATTTAGTTTGAGTTAAGATTCTATGTACACATATGATACAGGTAATGATTGGTGAAAGATTTCTTAAAAAACCTCCTATTCTCTTCATCAGCTCCACCGACATTCATCAAACCTCTGTCAAATTTAACTGGTACTGAAGGTGTCACAGTTCAATTAAAGTGTGTCCTTATAGCATCACCTGAACCTGATATTACATGGTATAAAGATGGCAATGTGATTATTGAAGGTGATAAGTATGTCGCAGAGTTTGACTCTGAGGGTGTGGCTACACTTACCATTACTGATGTACAAGTGTATGACTATGGTGAATATACGTGTAAAGCGGCAAATCTGATTGCTGAGGCATCCACGTCAGCTAAGTTAAGTGAACTACAAGGTAAATACATGTTTGATTTATTCATCTATTGTGTATTTTTACACACTGTTGTTATTTACGTAAGCACATACACTATTAATGGAGCATTATGGTATATTTATCATGCAAAGACTTGACTGGTAAATGTGAGAATGAACAATAAAGTATTTATTTGTGTTATTTTAGAACCTGTATTTCAATTCCCTGCTGAGGAAGAACATGTTCTGGATGTGAATGACTTCTATGATATCAAACATCAGCTTGCCAGGTGAGTACAAATACAAATCAGAAGTTTTTTATTTTGCGGTATTCTCATGGTAACCTTGTTAGTTAGCATGCAAAGTCATGCTTTCCTACAAGTAGTCATAATGTGGTAAGATGTAGACAGAAATGCCAATCAAATTGCTTTCAGTGATGTGATTCAGTCACCTGCTACACTGTTACTGCATTCCATGAAAACACAGTAAAGTGTTTGAATGTTACCTAAATATGATGCACATTTTTCAAATAAGGAAGACATTTAAAGGGCGGTAGTCATCGTGCCGCGCATGCACGAGATATATGATCAACGAATACAAACTAAGACGTTACCAAGCTCTAATTAGGTATTTTTTAGGTGATTGGAAGATATCAAAGGACTCACTGGTGGTAATCAGTGCAAGTTGCGACCAGGTCAAACCTCATACTTGTGATTTCCATTAGATGAGCGCATTGGATTGTGGGAAAATCAATATTTATCAACACAAATATTGCACATGCGCAGCGCGACGACTGTCGCCCTTTAAACATAAACATGAAATATTTTTTTATATAATTATGATTACTATATTGTTCTTTTGGTCATGATTGTTCCCAAATTTTAGCCAGTATTTTCCACTCATAATATTTAGATTAGATTTAGATTATTGCATTGTTTCAAGATTTTTATACTCACTTTTGCCATGAAAAGAAAATCGATTTTATTTTTATTTTATCTAGATTCTCAACAGTGTTGTAATAGTTATGCTGTATTTTGTTCCAGGGGTCAATTTTGCAAGGTGCACCTGTGTACCGACAGTATCAGCCAATCAGAATTTGTTGCTAAGTTCATCAGTTATGACGATGTCAAGAAGGAAGATGCTTGTCGTGAATTACAAATTATGAAAAACTTATTACATCCTTCTCTGGTTCATCATTACGAGAGTTTTGAATCAATGCATGAAATGGTCATCGTCATGGAATAGTAAGTATTGTGCACACTTTCAAGTGTCAAACTGTTTATTATAGTCTTTGGCTACATATTAATAACAACTTTCCTAGTATTAAAACTGGATCCTTCAGATATTGGTTTTCTCATCTGAATACTATTGAATCAGGACGTGATTATGATCTCCCCAGAAAAATAGCCTCCCTATCAACTAATTTACATTAACAACACAAAGTTATTCGCGTATGTTGTATTTATTGTTCTTTTGTTTACCTACAATTATACAGTTGAGAAGTAGGGCTGCCTTAGGCTCCGAGGAGAACCCTGCACATGATTTGCAAACTTCACGGTTTAACAAATTTGGTGGTCATACAATTCAAAACGTACCTTTTTTTGCTGCTAAGGCATTGTGATAAAGCAAATGATAACAATCGACCATCATACATGTCAGCCCATCTATTCTCTTTTAGCTAATAAAGTTAGCACAAATTACATTTTTAAAGGTTTTTGTTTGATGGAAAAGTCTTCTCTATCATCCATTTCTCATGATGCATTGCATAAACAGTGAATACACCAATTCCCTCCTTTCATCACAAATTCACAAAGTAGTCCTGTTTATAGCCTAAACTTTTTTTCAGAAGATTGAAACACAAATAGCCAAATTTTGAGTAAAAACTAAATATTGACTAAAATTGTGTTTGTTGGCTCCAAAATTAGGGTTCATTTTCAGAAGTATTGAAGAATATAAGTCTGTCTGTCATTTTCAAGCCGATCTGAAAAACAGAATGACATGCATAAGGTCCCATAATGTCCATTGTATGTACCATCTTTGAACAAAATCTAATCATAAATTCTTGATATTGATAATTTTTCTGAACAAAAATGGCCGCCATTCGGCCGTCTTGAATCAGATCGTGAAACAAATTGATGTGTTTATGTATAATATATGTATGATGTTTGTGTGAAGTTTGAATGTAATCAGTCTCGGCATGTCTAAGATACAGGTGCACAGAGGTCAATCCATAAGTCCCCGTTTTGGACTAGAAGGTGGATAAAAATTTGGGCAAGAAAGTCTGGTGGTGAAACGGTTAACACGTATTTGAGATAGTGATAATTTCTTTGATCTTTTCCATAGTGTTCCATATGGTTTATTGTTTGAGCAAGTCATCAGTGAAGATATGGACTTGTGTGAAAAACAGTGTGCTTTTTATATCAAGCAAATATGCAGAGCTGTAGATTATATGCATTACCAGAAGATAGTACACTTAGATATACAGGTAATTATTGCTACTGTTGTACTGTAGAATACTTTATTTTCGCTTGGAATTTATTTTCGCTATTTTCGCTGAAGGGATGATTCCATGAAAATAAAATCCAGCGAATATACATTTTTTCCTATATTTTACATTAATCTCATCAAAAATCAGTGAAAATAAATTCCAAGCAAAACGCCCAAAAAGCCTTTTCAGCGAAAATAAATTCCAGTGAAAATAAAGTATTCCACAGTATTTGTATGTGTAATGTAATTGATACAATTAACTGTACATAACCATTATTGTAAATCAGACCTTGCACCTAGTCTATGATTGTAGTCAAAATGCAGGACGACAGTCCTTTCTCAAATGTTGAAAAGTTGGCCACATGTAAGGTTTGAAACAACAACATCAACCTAGCACAAGTAGAGCCTCTATAGACTGTGCTATTGTGTTTTCAGATGGAGGTTTTTGGAAAATACACACATGAGAATGGTCATTTCAATCAAAAATTATACAAATTGAACTACAATATTCCTTATGTGAACTAACTTTTTTTACTGCTGTGCACAAGGCAATGAATGAAACTGCTTCCTATAATGCAATTTACAGTCGTCTAGTCAGATGTATTGCTTTCTTTCATTTTTTCTTGACTTAAATTTCTTTTCTTGTTGTTGATATATATAGGATATATCTGCTTTTAATTTATATCATACATTAAAGATTTAACGATTATAATGTTATGTCTATGTATGTATTCCTATAAAAAATTAGATAAATTCATTAAAATGGGCAAAATGTTTCACCATAATTTTGGCATGGAAAATTATAAGGTTTTAAGTTTATATGCAACGTATAGCACTATGCCTGGTAGTCAATGGGCAATCAGTACAGCCCAAGTGTAGATTCCAGTCTGGTTGATTTTTACTCTCATCAAATACATTAAACTTTAATACATTGGTTCACCACTGTAGAATCTCACCATAGTGAGTAGTAACAAGTTAACATAGTCGTAACAAATGCTATGATAAAAAAATTCATCCCACAAGCAAATATTAATGAAGTTTTATTCTGTTTCTTCTAGCCTGAAAATTTAATATGTTCAGAGCCCCTGATTGTGAAGTTGATAGATTTTGGGAATTCCAGATATATTGGAGATAGTTTCACTGAACTCAAAGTATCACCACAGTTTATCTCACCGGAGGTGGCATCGTGCAATAACATTACACCTAAAGCTGATTTCTGGAGCATTGGAGTCATCGCATATGCACTGTAAGTAAATACAAGTTTATTCATTTGGGTTGTTGGAATCATTTGCAAATTCAAGCACATGCACTGATGTTTGTGCTGTTATGTATATACCACAGACCAAATAGTCTATTAGGCTCAGAAAACATGTATTTATGTTTCTGGTTATCGCACCTTTTTAATGACAATGTAAAAAAAAACACAGTACTGG